AGAGAGACCTTAGAAATGTGGCTCCTCCATCTCATGGCTTTGAAACTGGGACATCCTGCTAGCTTGGCTATTCCAAAATAAGGATTAGCGAATCTGGGTAACCTTAATGTCGCCAAGTCTGCAAATAGAGTCTGACTAGTTGATGTGAGGAACCTTTCTTTGGGCTGAACCTCTCTAACACAAACTCTCCTGTGCATTTTCTAGGAACATGTATCTGTCATACAGGTCACGGGGCTCTTCCTGCCTTCTGGCTTGCTATATAAAATAGCTAGCACTAAAAGTTTAAAGTTAATAAAGTCAGGAATTCTAAATGGCAGCTTGGATTCTTGCATGTGCAAAATAGAATAGATACTTATCACTGAATGCAATCAAATTCCCCAAAACTGTAATGGCCAAGTGAGAGAAATGCCATTATAATACATTTTGGGATTGTATTATCATTGAATTTTGGAAAATTATCCCACGTATGTGAGCTGTATCTACTACAATTTGCAAAACTGAGCCTTAAGACTAGAAACTCCTGGAGACAAGTCACAAGATCTGTATGCTTGGGGTCTTCCAAAATGTGAGGTTTAATAGTGACTAGGAGCTCTCAGGACTAACAGAATACAAATAATGGAAGTGCTAAATAAAAATGCTGCTTTTACAGTTAAAGATCCAAAGGGACTATTCTGACCTTTTGTTCTATAGGCTGTAGGGTCCAGTAACACAGACATGAGATTTCTAATTTGCGATTCAATTTATATCACTTAAAGCTTCAACTCAAATACTCCTCCTCAGGAAAGAATTGATTTTAATATATCATTAATTTCTTCAGTATTTAAACTATTTCTCATTAAAATTTCTTTAGCTCTTAACTTCCAACCTTAGGATTTTGTTTATTCTTGATGAGGAGTTCTCATATTAGATTCCTTCTCTTTTATAACTGAAGCAGATGGAGTTTAAATCTGCAAGGCTTGTTCTTAATATTTTTTTTTTTTCAAAGTCAGTTCCAGTTTTGTTTTTTTTGTTGTTAGGTTTTTGTTTTTTCCATACTTTTTACTCTGTGAATTCAAGAACTGGAGCTCTTTTTTCTTTTTTTTTTTTTTTTCCCATAATGACTTCCCCAGTGCTGTGCACAAAGGTGACAGCAATTCTCGGCTGCTTCATGCTGTTCTCCATTTTATGTCCTCATACATAACATGCACCCTTCAGAACTTCATGCTGCTGTGCTTACTCTATTTTATGCTAATTTTTCCTTCAGCAGTAGTTTCAAGAGTTATGTAGAATTATACACATTGCTGTCACGTGTAACTTTATGAGATCGCAGATACCTACCACCTTCTAAAGATGAACATATCATCTTTTTTGGGGGGGAGAGGCTAAAATTTGATCACAAATTTCCCAGCATGAGGAACTTGGGATTGGGCTTGCGTAATGATGATGCTCTTGTAGTTTAAACAAAAAAGAAAAAGGGTACGTAGGAGATGACTAGTCTTCATGTGGCATGCTTTTTTCCTAAGCTGAGAACTTAAAAAATAAATAAATAAAAATAAAAAAAACAGCCAACAATCCAATGACACGTTTGGTCTGAACAACTATTTACTGCACATGTTATATATAAGTGGGTTTGCTACACGAGTCATGTGTCTTAATTAGGTAATTTACATTGTGTTATCCAATGAAGATGTTTGTATTTTATTTGGGTGCACATTAGAAGTTTCAAGGCAAACATTTTAATCCTCTGTTTCCAGAGATCAGTGCATGGATGCAGAATAACAAGTACAAATATATCCCATGTGTTAGTACAACTACCTTCTATGTTGTGTTCCCTGGAGAGTCAGTAATATTGTATGCACACAACACAGGTAAAGATATGTTGTATATTTTTAATAGAACTTTTTCCTTTTAAATTCTCTTACCAGAAGTAGATGTATTAGCTTTACCACTTTTAATGCATAAACATAGGTTTTATGATGAATATACCCCAAACAAGGCAAGTTCAGGCATTCACTCTGTTATCTCAGGTAATTTGGCTCTCTTTGAGCTGTGATGTTTCAGAGGTGCAATGGCAACTTGACCTTGAGATCTCCTGGCCTTTCTCCCATTTTCCTACAAAACTTTGATATTTCCTAAATGACTGTTTTTTTTCCTTGTACTGATCTGATACTGTTCACTGAGAAACTGAATCTAGTTATTGCTGCTTGTGCTAATTGAGATTTCTCAGTTTTTCTTCCTCCTTGTCATTAAGCTGGATTTAAGCTTCACATACCCTTGCAATTACTTTGAAATTTGAAGTCTCCTTGCAACTACTTTCAGAAATCTGAAAGCTAAATGATTCCCAAGTTTAAAATATGATGTTCCCTAGTTGAAAGGAAAAAGCAATATTGTTATATTTGTATTCTGATGAAATTTATTATGTACAATATAATTTGTGTCTCCATAACAATCTACTCTTCTTCAATTAGGGATTAAGCCAGATACTACACAGATCTGGAGAAAATAAAGTAATTTTTCTTTTTTTATTTTTTCTTTCATTGAGAATACAGGCAGAATTTGAAACGTGTGTCACTGGCAGTAAAATACAAGCTTACAGTTTCTCTTCTGTTTATTGTAAATCAACTACAGAACAGCAACCCATGGCATTAGTCCAGGAAACCGAGATTATGAAGTTAGGAAGCAGAAAGATGAACAGAAAATTATGTTTATAAATCTTAACTAACATCTTCCTCTCTGTGCGGTGAGAACCTGATTCAGCTCTCTTTGAAGTCAATGGTAAGACTCCCACCAACTTTCAGCAGGAGTTGGCTCACTCCCTTATTTCTTGTGACCATGTCTGTTTGGGGTAAAACGTGAAGGGATGCACACAGACATCTGTAACTAATGAGATCAGTCCAAGGTCCCTGGGCACGTGGGAAGCAAAGGTGAAGAAGTCACGTAGCACACCTCCTCAGACCTTCTTGCACACCCCTTGTTGTGGGAATGCAGTGGTGCTGGAAGTGAGTGCCATGTTGATGGCCATTTTATTGATGTGCTATGAGCCCTAACTGCTGTCCGGAGTTCCATTCCTCTGAACGGAGTTTGAAGTGTAGCTTGGGAGAAATTTGTTGTAATTTGCTCTCCCTGTTTCTGTATTTATAAGCCTACAATATTGTAACTTTTTACTGTGGGTGGACAAGCAGCATCCACTCATATCAAAGAAGATATAAGTACAGATAAATATAGCTTTATACATTCGTTTTTATGTAACTTATGCAAATGTATGTGCGGTAGTCACAGTCCTCAGGTTGGCAGCAGATAGCTGGCTTGGCCGTCGGTGAAGCTTCCTTTGGTCACTCGAGTTACTGAATTATCTTGCTACCTTTCAGCAGAGCTTTGCATGCATAATACATCTGTTTACTTGCTTAGGGCTGCAGCCTGATGTCCTGTGACAGTAGGAATGTTGATCTCCACCTTTGACATGAGAAGTCACTTTCCCCCTGTTACTTTACTGGTTGATCTGGGAAAGACTAATTTTACGTAGCACTTGCTGTTGAGTACTAACTGACCATCTTGTGTCTTTACGCTTCAATTAAACTAGAGTATATTCCTGTTTTACAGCAACAAAATACATTTTTATATACTATATATTATATATATTATATAATTGTTATATGTTCAGTTGTTAAAATTAATATTCTTAACATTCAACCCCGTATTAAACACACATAAATAAATTGATTCCTACTGCTTACTTATAGGTTTTAGTTTATTACTTGTAATAATTCTAATTTATGTTAGTATATAGCTTGTACTTTTGTTAATTCTTTCACCAGGAGATCTCAAAGCAGTCAACTAAACCACACCAAATCTTTGTCAAGTATGTCACTATATCAAGTGTATGTTCTGGATGAATGTAGTAATGAGAAGTCCAAGCTTTGCACTGATTCTTGCAGTATTTTAATACCAGCAAAAAATAGGCTCCTGAAATCTTGACTCCTACTTCTACCCACTAAATTATGGATCCCTTTACTCCCAGTTCTGAATTTCAAGTAGTCTTTGAAAAAAATTTCATTCAGGAGTCTTCAAATATGTATAGCAATAATTATATCAATATTATTAATATGCACTACTAAAAGACACATATCTACATTTCCAAAGCTTTGATGTGCTTACAAAACTGAACTTTTAAACGCAAGCATATTTTTAAATCACACATGTGTTACAGAAATCTATTAAGACTGAGTCTAGCAAAGACCTGCGTATGCTTAGAGCAATGATTCATGCGCTCCTGCAGCTTGTCTCCTGGGAGCATCGTAGCTATCTGTTGGAATATACCAATTCATGATCTCAGAGATTGACTCCAAAACCAATTTTTCTGTGTGTGCATGTTTCCTCTGCTTTGTTAATTGTTTTTAGTTTGTTTTGATCTTCGTTTTTCTTGTGAAAATTATTGTTAGGGAGCTATGATTGTGAGCTATACAATCCTAGAATGGTTTAGGTTGGAAAAGACCTTAAAGATCATCTACTTCCAACCATGATTCCGTGGGTATGGTTGCCATGTGTATTACCATGTGGTCTGCCATGTGGATTACCACCTGGAGAAGCTGTGAACTGCATTAATTGCTAGTAGACCGATACCAGCAAGGCTTTCAATTCTACATGTAGCTATATATATAGCATTTTACTTTTCTTAAAAGTTACATAGATCTCCCTCCCTACTGCTGTGCAGCAATGTGATGGCTAGTCATTCACTACATGGATTTCTTAGTTCCTGAAGTATTTCCATATCTCAAACTTGCTACATACTTAAAACCGGAACACCATTACTTATTCTTTTTTATTCGTGTATTTTAAGACTCTTACTTAGCTAGTTTAAACATAGTAAAATTGTGACCTTTATCTGATATTATTAGCTTGTATTTTGAAAGTTGTGCTTGTATTTTGAGTTTGCTTATAAGGAAAATCAAGATTTACTGATCTGACTGTAATTGTGAATATGTCCCATGTTTTGATGATTTTATTTTTGTTGGGAATTGCAGTATAGAAGAAGGTGCATGCTCAAGAGTTGTTATTTGACTGGGTAGCTGAAGACAGCAAGTCACTGACAGAGCAGCAGGAATTATCAGAAGATGAGGATCTGCCACCCTGTTTCTTTTGTGCTAACCACCAACAGCTGGAGACCAGGCCGAAGAGAGAGAAGAGAAGCACGTCTCAAGGAAGCATGTGCTTAAGCATGAAGATGAACAAAGCTTCCAGGGGAAAGGTACAGTTTTTTGTTGCCTTTAGTTGAATTTCTACTATTAATACAATAGATTAAAAAAAAAAATCCCAATGCAAGACAAGTAGTTTTTACGTTATAGGCAGTTTTTTACTAAAGACTTGAACAGTGCAGCTAAGGAGTAACCTAGACAGGAGAGGATGTAAGGGGGGGGGGGGATAAGAAATGTGGGGAAGATAAATGATTGTTCATTGGTTTTCAGACTTTATACAATGGCTTCAGACTCGAGATTCATTGGTTTCATGCTCTTTTCATCAAAAGTGCAAGGTGGGATACCACTGTAGAGTAACAAGTCCTGTTGTCATTAATGGCTCAAAATGGTGACAGGACAGCGCCTATGCCTAGATAGCTAATATGGGTTCATATGTGGTTGGAAACTATTTGGTCTCCTACAGAAGATGAGTTTCCTGCTGCCATCTTTATTTCACCCATTCTTGCATCTGCTGAAACATCTGGTGGTGGCTGATGTTGGAGACATGACAGTAGACGTGCTAGAGAACCAATCTGGCTCAGGATGAGAGTTCTTGTGCTTCCCTGTGCTGCAGAGCGTTGGGGGATCTGGAAGTCTTTCATGCTCTGACCTTTAGCAAGTTGAAATGCTCAGAGCAGGGTTGTCATTGGGTAAATGGCATTTTCTGCTTAAAACTTCAGGAGCATGTTTTTATTTTGTGTATTTCTAACTACTGATTAAAAGTTGGCTCTTTCGTAAATGTGTACCTTAGGCCATCAAATTTAATATAAAAACCTACCTTTTTTTCCACATTGGCATGCTTTTGTAGAATGTAGCCACATGAGAAAAATTTTTGCTACAATTATTTACTAGGACATACTAATTAATTTTCTTCCAAATGAGGTACTTTGTTTTAGAAGTGGCACCTTCTGCAGAAGATAGCAACTTCACAGAGGAAAAAAAAAAAAAAAAAAGCACACCAAAAAACAGCCACACACACAAGTTGGAAGGGCTTAGAATAAATTATTGCATGTCATTCTGTGGGAAAATCTTCCAGTACGAATGCTCGAATGCTGTGTTGCTCGCAACGCTAGTGCCAGATCCACTCAGCTCTGCTTTGCACTTCTGTCACCCTTATCACTCATGAGACGATACTCTTCTACTGTAAGTGCTACCCCCAGTGGCATGTATTCATTTATAGGACTTGCATACTTATGCTGAAGTCAGACACCCAAGAGGCACAGGAGGAATTGACAGTATAGGCAGATGCTTTCAGCAAAGAAACCGGCATGTTAAAAGAGCTTTAGCGTGGTTATTGTTTTGCCAGGCAAACCCATGTACTTGTCATCAAGGTGTTAGGGAGTATTTCAGCCTCATTGTACAAGCTGAATACAAGATCTGTAATCAAGAGTTACATCATTTGGTGAGACAAGACCTGGAGGAATACAGCAAAGGGAAATGTGTATAATTAGAACAGTTCAGTTGCAATGGAAAGGGGCTTTGATAGTGTTAGAAATGTAGCTGAAACACATCATACCCACTGAACTGTCATCAGGTGTTAGATCGTAGATGTCAATGGGCTGGAGAGACCTCCATCCAGTGAAGGAGTATGGGGTTCTCTCTTTGACCCTTCCCAAAGCTCAGAAAACCATCTACAAGTAACCCTCTGCCAAGCCACGAGGCCTCCTCACTGTTTGTGGACAGACACCAAACTGGAGATTAAAAAAAGAGTCACTAAATAAAAACTTAATTTGAAAAAGGCAGTTTGTTTTGACAGTTGGTCAAAGAATGCTGAGAAATAAGAGCACAGGCAGTATCCCCCCTTCAAACTTCCCATAAAGGAAGAGCTTGATGTGGAGGCTGAGTCAGAAGTCAGGGAGAGGAAAGAGGCTCATAACCATGATGACAGGGAACCCGCTGCAGTTCATCGTGCATTAGGGACAATGTGCTTCCCATGGTGCTTTCCGCACTACCACTGTTGCCAAAATCCTTCCTAGAAATTTCCCTTAAAAAAAAAAAATGAAATCTCTTGACACCCAATCTGAGTATGTAACATCCAGCCTGCTTTATTTATATTTTTCACAAAATATTTATCACTACTGCCATAGCAATAACTAACCTAAAAAAAGAGATGAGGTTTCAATGCAATTTGACCTTCTCTAGACCCTGTCCAGAGCCATCTCTATTCTTACATGTGTATTATTGGCAAATGCTTTAAATTTTTGAGTTTGTAGAGGAAAATGTTCGACATCTCAAGGATTTTCAAGCCATGGAAGACTGCTTTCCACCCAGCACTAAATAGGTTGCCAGACAATACACCAGTTTTTAGGTGTTATGTTTTATCTATCCCTAGAACTTACTGTGCCGTGCGTTAATAACATTGCTCCTCATTGCCTTGTCACTGTTGTCTCTATTGTAAGTCAAAGCTGTCATCTGTGGCAGAATTTAAGTGGGCAGTTTCTGAAGGAGAAAAGGAGCTGGGTGCTTCCATGGGGCTGATGATCCCCCAGGGTGATACTGGCAACCAGCAGCTCTGGCATCCATGTTTTGGTCAAGGCTATGAATGGATCCCTAACTCCAGCAGAGCTCCCCAGGTGAGCAATTTGGAAAACAACTGATTTTATAATCATGTATAAATCATGCTTAGACATCTTTTAGCTGAGGCTGCTGGCTGAGCGCTGCTGGGTGCCGTGGAACGTGAGCAGTGCTATGAATATCAGGAATGCTAATAATGGGGTCCCATTTCTAACTCGGGAACAAGAGGTTCGTTGCGTGCACATAACTTCCATGGGCAAGCATTCCTCTTGTCTTGCTGCATGTGGGGTGTGGTTCTGCGTGAATAACCCCGGCTTTTTGAAAGAGGCCTGGAAGACAGTCAAATAATTGTTTCTTTGCCAATAACTGTAGCATGGGGAGATGCCGGGCTCAGGCTTTAATCCTGAAAATGACTCCAATGCAGTGAAGGAATCAAATATAGAGTGCAATTTGAGATGGAGGTCTTCGTTGTTTTTTCTTTTTTTTATTTTTCATTTATTTCTTTATTTTTAATTCTAAATAAATGGTTTAACTTATCTATCAGAATCTATGGAAATATTGGACAATTCATTGCAATGCTTGCTGTTAAGCAATTACTTGTCTCCAAGGTGTTTAATATGGAGCATTAAAGCCCACAGCATAGGTCGGGGAAAAGTATCAGAAGACTGCCTATACAAGCATCTGCATGTTTGATTTTTTTTGCTCCAGATTCCTGTCTTCAGATACCTAAGAGGGCCACAGTTGTCATAAGCATGTCTTAAGTGGTTACTTCAGAATTGTCCTGGGATGGTATCGAGCCAATCCAACAGCTTTCTTGTATGAAATATGCACAGCGGAAGAGGGAGAGAGGGAAGAGGAATGTGTGGCATTCCTCTGAGCCTTTCTGCTACAATTGTCCTGGTGGTACTGTTTCAGTGGGTGTAATGAAGAACAGCCTGTGGCTATGCTAAAGCACATGAAGCTCCTTTTCTGCCCCTGATATGGCACACGACTGCAGCCTGGCTGGTGAGGCTTGCAGCTACCAGCACCTCGTGGTGCGCTCTTCTTCTGTAACCAACGCAAATTTGACGTGTTTGGGAATCTGCCCTTATATTTTAAAACTCCATGCAAATGTGGTAATAATAACTACACTGACATTTGCTTTTGCTTCTGTATAGTATGTCTTTAATATGATTACTACCCTTAACATTTAAGGGAAATTTGACAGTTATGTAATCCCTTCAACGTTTAAGTACAACAGGAATCTATTATTAAGTGCAGTGGCTGGAAATGGAGCACTTTTTTCATTCACACTATAAACAGTTATGTTGGATTAGTAATCCCGCTTGTCAGAGTTGTTCACTGTTTGATATTAATCAGTAGGTTTATGAAAGGTGCAATAGAAGGCAGAAACGAATGGTAAAGATGATGTAAACCTTGGTTCCATAAAACCAGTCTCTATCTAATACTTAGGTTTACAACGTCTGTTTCAGTGACCATTAGACTAAGGGGAAAGGAAGTACTGTGTTATGTAATGGCACCCCTGAATATCTTTTGTTAAACATATATTTAGTTTTTCACACTGTATGCCATAGCAGACTGATGAAAGCCAAGACTTTTGAGAACATTCTTAGATTGTTTTGCAAAGAGTATGTTTTTCAGACTGTTGCATAGATAGGCTGTGATACAACCTGGCAAAATGCTGATCAAATATTACATGACAAAATGAATAACATTTCCTTTTGTTGCTTATCCACAATTAAAATCATGTGCATATCACTTCACCTGAATATTTCTACCTAATTTGTGGGTTTGTTATCTTCAAGCTACGTAATTAATTTCTGTGTCTTGCAAACTGTGTAGCAGTGTAGGACTGTTTCAATTTTTTTTTTTTAACACTTCAGAATCCCTTCCTACATGTTCATGCAGCATGCACAGAAGAGCCAAGTCCTTTGGTTGCAAATGTCATCTTGTGAGATCTTTAGATGATCAAAGTGAAAATGACACCAATGTAGCACAAGATGCCTTGAAACAGTGAATATTAAATTATCATGATTGGTTAATGAACATGCATGATTAATGAAACAAAACATAGGCATATAATAAAGGCTTTTCTTGTAACTGTCAGTCATTCTTCTTGTTCAAATGCTTCCAGATACATCCCCTACACACCTAACTTAATCGCTGACACATATCTGTATGCGTATAATAATATATGATAGTGAAATCAAATTGTAGTGTATGACCTCTCCATCAAAAGTGAAATTAAACTTTAATAACATGCTTCTCTGCCTAGGCCTGTTTTGAGGTGAGGTTTTCCTCCTTTTTAAAAATCCTGCTCTTTACAGTTCTGTTTTGTGTCTAATGCAATCTTCAGTGAACAGCACTAATCTTTGTCAAGCTATGTGTATCTTTCACCGATCACTTGTAATGCAACATGGCATTAGTTTCTTTTTTTAATTCTCATGTCTAAATTTAGAGTTTACTTGGGGAAGGATCAAAGGTGTCAAAAATCTTCATC